GACGGAAAATCTGACAAGGGTTGAGCGGTAAATTGGACCCTGGTCACTTGGATGAGTGCACCAAGTCAACGATGAGATGCTGGAAGGTACCAGGACGCAGGACTGGATGCATTCTATCCAGTCACCTCGTCAGTGCGGCCAGGTTGCTCAAAAGAGGTCAACCCAAATCTACACGACTAAAGAAGAGTCAAGACAACGGAGTGAATTGTTCAGTCCACCCCCATGGCCAGGGAAAACCAAAAATTTATACAAAATCAAGGTCACTCCAGCAATGGAATATCGGATGACCTCATCGGAACTCCGAGAAGGAATTTCCGGCAGTTGTAACAAATCCTCAGCGCACTCTCGTGCTGATGCCAACCTACTTCGAAGTTAAGGGACTAGTGACACGAAGATGTGGGATGAGTCTTCGAAATTTAATTTCTATTTCTACGCCTGTGCATTACTCAACTGGAGGTTAAAGCCCAAAACTCGCGACTTTCGAGTTGAATATACAGAGAAAAAGCTGGTTTCAATGAATCTCCATTGTTGTGGAGACTTTCGTTTCGTATGAAAGTGCATGATGCAGAGAGAGATTCGTAGATCACTATCACCAGATTCCCGTCGGTCTGAGGCTGTTTGGCTTTAATAAAACGAAGCCAAACCATAGTTGAAAAATTAAGGTTTAAATATTAAAATCTATGAATATAACGAGTGTAAGACAAAAGGATAGTGTCCATTTGATCATAGAATGAGGATAATGCCTCTTTAGTGAGGAATACACTTTCAGATGGAGATGGGCAAGTCGGCACTTTTTCTCATATTCTAATCTTGCTGTCATGTTTTCAGTCCAAGAAGATTGGCAGAACTGGTGAGGAAGTGAGGAATAAAGACAGTTTTCAAAGAAATTCTGACACTTTCTTCGGCTATACCTTCTTTGGAAGAGAAATATGACCCACTGCCAAGATCCGGTTGCTGCAGGATTGTGTGCTCTTCTATTCGACCTCATGTTGGTGAGCCATGTCGGCCCATGAAACGCCGACGAGAAGCGCAACACAAAAATGCTTGTAAAGGTTTGCTCATCCTTATGGTACGTCGGCCACGAGACGCAAGATGAGAGAGGCTATTGACACCGACGGAGTGGGGAATATGTTGAATGTGAGGAATGGTGAAAGAAAGTTGTGTCAGAATTACTTATGCTTGACTGAAAGATTGAAGGAGAGATAGAGGTCGTTGAGCGGCAGTCTAAAAGAAGATGACTCAACTTGTCAGCTGACCGATGCTTCTACCAAATTCACTCTCGTCCAACGAGCATGTTAAACTCATAAACCAAAAAGGGACCTACGAGATTACGCAATCTCGCTCGTGCTTTTGCTCGGCTCATCAACCATTGACAACCTAGGGCTGAAGTTGGGCTCTTCAACAATTACTCTGAATTACATTAAAACATACGGTCGATAAGATAACTTACTAGGCCATTATATTTCTCAATATTTTTTTTCCTTATGAGTATATTGAGTCATATTAACTTAATTTTTTAGTATATTTTTGCTCTATTTTGTAAGGTATGGAGTCCTTCTCTGATGATATTTGTCACAGTACAGAAGAAAGCTTAACACAGTTTCATCGGGGTCGGAGGACGATGAACCGGAGACATCTTCGCACAATTCAACAGTCCTTCCTACACTGAAATCCCCCTTCGGTTTCCGGTGAGACCGCATCATGAATTCACTCCTACCAACTTTCGTTTGGAAATGGAGAGTCATGTCACAATATATCACTAAGGAATTCTTCGAAACCCAGATTTGCTTCATATTTTCTTGACTCAATGTTGATGTGAGACGTCGAATCCCTTGTTCATGCAATTTCATACGAAATGAAAGCTTGTTCAAAGTGAGAATTTTGCAAGAATAAGTACCAGCTCTGATAAAGTTTGTCATATGACGCACAAAAGCCTTCCATTTCAAGTGAAAGTGTTCGGAGTTGTTTTGACTCGTTAGCTTGAACATCGCTGCAAGGAGGATACCCTTGTTGGTCTGATGATGTCCGTCAGTGCATAACGGACGTCTTCACCGGAATCTAAGGGGATTGGCCCGGAAACAGTGTCAACAAGCCAACCCGTTTTCACCCGAAACGAAAGAGGCTGTCTCGAAGATTGCGTCAACCTGAGGGTCGAATTGAAGCCAAACGACTGCAGAACAACGCGAATAATCGCATGCCTTTTGGTGGGATCGGCTTACGAATCTCTTCATCCGGCACACTTTCATACGAAATGCAAGTCTTTTCACCAGTTTAGAGTGAATACCTAAACTGGGACTGCTCTAAAATCCGTCTCGGTTGGGAGTTCCTAGTGCCTCTGATTATTTCTCCTAGACTACTCCTTCGGTTTCTAGTCCGGTCAAATGACCCACTCTTTTATGCGCTTTTGGCCAAAACGCATAAGTACAACAAAACAAAGTTACCGCGGTACTCTTCGAAAAGCAGCTTCTCTTCACATCTAAGCGTCCGTAATGTTTGATTCACCGCGTGATAGGTGCCAACTTCTGATTGGCTGCCAGCGAATGACCTGGCCCGACGTGATAGGTCAGCCTGAAAGATCCAATAGGAAGCTAGTGTGCTCTCGACGAGAATGTGATTGGTGCGAATTTGCAATTCACAATAGAGCAGAAGAGATGATCGTGACTGGCATTTGCGTTAATGCATCAAAGGGAGCCGGACGCGGGAGAAAAAAAGGGTTAAACTGACGCATTTTAACTTCTCTCGTGCCTCTGGATGGTTGCCGATTCAGTCGTGCCTCCTCGCCGGTGCGCCAGTGATTGGGCGTCGCCAAGTCGACGGTGCCGACCAACGCCTCGGGCTCCGGACAGCCTCGGGCCCTTGTCAACACGCCAGAGTGGCCGGAAGAGCCATCCGCCGGCCCGAGTGAGGCGACCAGGCCCGAGAAGACCTCGTTGCCGGCCTCCGGCGGCAGTTCCATGACACACGACTGCGGCCACCGGACGAGCCGAGACGAGTGAAGCAACCGGTCGCAGCGGGTGGGGGGCAAACAGGCGGCTGGAGTTGTCGTCAAGCGCGACGCGAAGCACCAGTTCGAGGGAGCACGTTGCCTGCATGCCAGGATGGGGCTGTGTACTTGACTCGCGGCCAACTCGCAGAATTACGCCCAAACTCGGACGCCAGCCGCAACAGGAGGGTCAGGAAACAAGCGCCGCAGCAGCACGAACAAGCAAAGTGGATCTGTGAAATGACATCAAAGAGAAGATGAAATGTATATTCACTCCATTTCGCCGGATTTCGCATAGTCCCGCTTGCCAAGGTAACGCGTGGAGCGCAGGTGCCCAATAATCCTTTCATTTCGTCTGAGAAGGCGGGTGGAAGCGATTCAGATTGGCCTCACGAAATGCCGAAGGACGGTTCCGCTGGACTTGTGTCTGTTGTATACAAGTTGTTTGATCTTGTTTTCGCAACTTGGTCATGTTGCTAGGACGACTAGTCCGGGGTC